GGTGGCAATGTCTACAGGTAGTCCTTGAGTTACAACCATTTATTTAGCGATCATTCAAAATTGCAATGGCATTGAAAAAAGTGACTTATGACCATTTTTACACTGATAACCGTTGCAGTATCTCCGTGGTCATGTGATCAAAATCCAGATGTTTGCCAACTGGTTCATACTTATGACAGATGCAGCGTTCTGGGGTCACGTGACCACCTTTTGCAACCTTCTGACAAGTAAAATCAACGGGGATGCCAGATTCACTTAACAACCGCGTTGCTGATTTAGCAACTCAAATGATTCACTTAGCAACTGTGGCAAGAAAGTTCATAAAATGAAACTCACTTAAGAACGGTCTCGCTTTGCAGCAGAAATTTTGGGCTCAGTTGTGGTCGTAAGCCAAGGACTGCCTGTATGCTCTTGTGACAGTGGCAAAAAGGACAAAGGCTGATGGAACCTTCTCTGACCAGAGAGTTGGAAGTTGCTATTGTGGAGGCTGAAGTGTTGGGTTGGGACAGCCGGCACTTGATGGGTGCAGCAGTTGAGGGAGACTGTCCCATCCCTGCTGTTAGATGGAATACCAGGGTGTGGAGTCCTGCTTAGATTGCCTTGCTCTGGAGCTCACGTCGGTTTTGGTTTACTTCTGTGAGATATGAGGTTAGATGACGTGGGACCTTGCAGAGTGAGAAGTTCCACCTTTCATCCTTCTGGGCATTTAGTGAAGACCTAGAGCAGTGATGGCAAACCTTTTCGACACCAAGTGCCCAAACCAGAACGTGCGTGCATGTGAGCATGCCGGAGTGCCAGAAACCCGAAGACCAGTTGGCTGGTGCGCGCATGCCTGTTTTTTGGCCATTTTCCGGGCCATTTTCAGGCCATTTTCCAGTGCTCTAGCTCCCGCGAAGACCAGAAACCAAAAGAGCAGCTGGCAATGGCACGGATGTCCACAGAGAGGGTTCTGCGTGCCACCTCTGGCATGCATGCCATAGGTTCGCCATCACGGATCTAGAGAATAGGAGGGCTATGGTTAATAGAAGGGAATAACACAGTGTCAGAGTTGGAAGGGACCTTTGCATGACTTCCTGATCCAACCCCCTGCCCAACCAGGAGATCCTAAATCGTTTCAGACAAACGGTTGTCCAATCTCTTCTTAAAAACTTCCAGGGAAGGAGTGAAGTGATGGAACAGTGTTTGGAAGATTTACGTCCAGCTGAGTGGCTTGTGTCAGATTACTGACCTTCCAGGGTTGACTGGTGGTAAGATTGGAGAATGAGGAATAAAAGTAGGGGGTTGCTGTGGGTATCCTAACACCTGCGGATGCCATTTGGGGCCTCCCAGTAGTGATGGGCCAAGAAAGGAATGTCAAGAAGAAGAAGGATTAACAGTCTGGTGCAAATTTCGTCTCCCGGCTTGGTTGCCTCAGTTGGCAATTAGAATTTTATCTCTTGACTTGATCAAAAGGGGCACCTGAAGGAATGAATACCACTCCTTTTGATTTTCTTTATACTTTCAGTTCAACTTGATGCAACTAATTGACTAGGACTGCATATCGTTTCAGGGATTCTAGAACTCTTTAATCAATGTGTTTCTGCTAATTGTCATGGAAATTATTACCAGAAACGCTCACTCAAGCAATTGGGTAATTAGCACAACATTCCTTTAGATGTTGAAATGCAACAGAGTCGAATAGTGAAGGGGTTACCCAAATAATTTACTTTACAAATATGAAAGGTATCATATCTTTTACAGCACTTCAGGTACTTAAAATGTTTTAGAAGTTGCTGAAGTTTGGATTAAATACTACTGAAATATGAGATGTATTATCATTAAAGGTGTATTATCACTCTTGGGGATCCGTCACAACAGAAGGTGTTTAAAGGGGGTCCATAGTGAAGAAAAGGTTGAGAACCGCTGTCTTAATATATTAGTGCCAGAGACCTAAATCTAACATTAAATGTTTATTTTCTGATTATTTCCCTGAATACTAGTTCAAAATTGAACTACTAAAGATGGTTAACACAAGCAAAAGCATAAAGCCATAACAAAAAAGAAACAAATTAAAAGCTAACTGTATCATCTTTTAGGATAATATTATTATATTTTAATACCACCGTACAGCAAGTCTTGTTTGGTTATCGATAATACATTTGTATGAGAATGTCAGAGCTCTCTGACCAATTGGAAAGAATTACAGAAGCATAATCCCTATTAAATTTGCTGCAAGACAGTAATTGTGATGATTTGATAACACATTTTTATTGCTTTTCCTTGGCGAAAACAACTTGGTGTGGTGAAATAACCTCATGATATTGTTTGGGGCCTGGTTCTTCCAGTGGAGTTTACCCATGGCTTAGCTTGCATTGGGTTTCTGGAAGTAGTAAATATTTTGGTAATCTATTTAACAAATAGGATTTCTGCTCAGCTAATGTCATTTGTACTTTTGGCAGCAGTTGTTTTAATAATTGCTAGGTTTTTTTTTTTGCAATAGAGTCAAGATATCCAACAGTTTTTATACTTTCTTGAATCTATACAAAGAGCACAAAACCTCTGGTGACTTTTTCATGACCTTCAACGGGGTAGATTTCACAACGTTGTGCTGGATGCAGATGTTTGGCATTGTAATATGGTTGAACTCTTTGCCATAATTGTAACTTAAATAATTGACGTTCAAAGTTTTAAAAAGATTAGTTACAGTTTCCTAATAATTCGTTTTTGTTCTTCCTACTTGACCTCTTCATGAGTGGACAAACAGAGTTACAATCTAAGCTCCATTCAAGTTATTTTCCATTTCCAAATTAGCACAGCAAACAAAAGGCTTTGAAAAAAATGAAATAAGTCGTATTTTCTATATTAAAAGACTGGCTTCTGTTTATACTTTATAAATCCTAATTATAGCTATAATTATGAAGTTTTTTCTTTGAAGAAGCGCTTTTCTTGCTGTGTCTTAATAAGATGGCATAGCTGCGGGTAGAATTTCTCCACAAATGCATTCAATCCCTACATGTTTTTATTTTATTTTTATTTATTTATTAAACAAAATTATATAGCTGTCCAACTCACATTTAGTTGACTTCCAAGAGCTTACAATTTTTTAACAAAATCAATGTGTAAAAAAAACGTCTTTGCTGATAGAGATATACTAGCTAATTTTGAGTTGAAAAATAAATTTGTATATTTATAGGTAGATCAGTATCGTGCATTTCTTACTTTTGGATAAAGGTTAGAAAGTTTCGGTTTTTCATTCCCCCCCCCTTCCCCCCAAAGTAAATATTTTTCTTCTAAGTTTGCTTTCTTATAACTATTTACTATTTAATCTCATTTGGGAATCTACATCCTTTTTTGCGTGACGCAATAACTTGGTTGATTTGGAGGCAGTGATGGGAAACTGACTTGTAGCTGCTAGTTTCATGTCTAAGAATAATGTATTATGCAATATTTTACTTTTTTTTTCACACTTTTACCCTTTTCTATTAGTGTTTAGATTTTATTTTGCTCTGCTATAAGCTAATGATTTCTGGCTATGTTAAAATCATATGGAAAACAGCCAAAATGCTTTTTAAATATATATATATATATAAAAGATACATTGTGTATTAAAATCATTAGCCTTTAAAAATATTTATATTTTTCTATCTGGAAAAAAGACAATACCACCATGTGAGGATTTTTAAAAATGTATTTTAGCAGCACGATTGCTTATTTAGTGAATTGGACGCTTTTGTCTTGAATGCCTTAATATTGCTTTGATGTTAATGTACTGTGCTCTCAGGAAGAGAATAAAGGTATTGTACGAAAATTCCCAATTCAAAGTATTTTAAAACCATTGCTGAGAGAGAGATAAAGACTAGCTTACAACATTTTATTTTCCTATTGTAAATCAGATCCAGGGGTAAACATGAACATATAATTGGAAACAGATAAAAAGTAGATTGCAGAGCAAATAAACTCTCCCTTCCGTTATTCTTCTGGCACACATATAAAATCTGTGGATGCTATAAACATGTAGCTTCTCCCTTACTGCTCTTTCCCTGTGTGTGTCCCTGATTCACCCCGTAGGTGTGGTAGAGAATAGCGCCTTCCCAGAGGTTCCAAGTTTTGAACTGGAGAAACGCCAGCTAGTATTCTTGTCCAATTTCCAGGTTGAGTTCTGAGGGCTATTGCAGAGAACATGGGGTGGCTGAGATTGCCTCTGGCCTAGGATGCAGTCATGAGTATTAATAGCACCAAGACAAGAGCATCTGCAAAAATGATGTGGGTTGGGTTTTACTGATGTGTTTGCGTGTATACCTGTCGATCAGAACGATACCTTCTCTGTACATTGTTTTTTAATATTCGTGGTGCTGAGCTATGTGATTGTAAGAAAAATAATGCCAGCCTAAGCATTGTCTACTGTTGAACACGATTGTATGAAGCTTCACTGGAAAGATTGTATATTATTGCCCATAAAAAGCATTTGTATCTTAAAGAGATTCTCTTATCCTAATCACTAAATATCAGGTGATATTGCCTGTATTATGTACACACACTACACTTATGGCTTATGGCTTGACTTATTGCTACAGTTGAATCCAAAATTTCCATTGCTAAGCAAGACAGTCGTTAGATGAGTTTTGCCCCATTGTATGTCTGTTCTTGCCACAGTTGTTAAGTGAATCTCTGCAGCCGTTAAACAAGTAACATGGTTTGTTAGGTGAACCTGGCTTCCCTGTTTGCTTGTCGGAAGGTTGCAAAAAAAAAAAGTTGCAAAAAAAAAATGACTCCACGACACTGCAACCGTCATAAATGCATGCCAGTTGCCAAGCCTCTGAATTTTGATGGTGTAAACGTGGGGACAGTTGCAAGTGTGTAAAACGAGTCCTAAGTCACTTTTTTTCCAGCATCATTGTCACTTCAAACGGTTGTGATGAATGGCTGCAAGTTGTATTTAGTTCTCAAAGGAATGTAGCGCTTTTAATTGTGAGATAGAGTTCCTCCTTGTCAAGTAATAAATCCCTTTTCTCCGTTGCTAGTTCTTCAGCTGAAGCTGCAGCAAAGGCGAACAAGAGAACAGCTGGTGGACCAGGGAATCATGCCACGTAAGACTTAATTTCATTTTCTGCGGCTTGTGTAACATTGAGTGCTTCGATGTCTTACTAAAGATGAAAGGAAATAGACGATAATATTTAGTACCCATCAACATTTAAAGGCAGGATGACAACTCTGTAAACATTACTTCTACTAAACATCTGAAAATTAAAGGAAATTGATGGAAAATATATTACCGTATTAAACCTGGAATTCATTTCAATTAAATTATGAGCAATTGGAAATTAAATAAGGGGGAAATGATTTATCATAATTTAGTCTGGTATGCAGAAACGAGACTCTTCCTTTCTGTGTCTGGATGAATCAAGAGGGCCAAGCCATTGAGAGATTGAAAGCAAACCATGGATTTGTTTTCTAGTGTCTTCTTGAGTGGAGGTTCCATCTTCTTGTACCCTAAAGCTGGTGAACTAAGTTTCCTAGGGTAGCACTGTATGCAGATATGCTTGTCACTCAGCTCTTACTATGATTTAGGGCAAGGTTTCATTATCTTTCATTAGCCAACTTATTAATTTTTGGGTACTGAGGATTGCAAAGCAGACATGGTTGTGTTTCTTTGTTTTTCATGTGGCATGCAAACACCATCTTGTTACCTGGCATAGCTGAGAATTGCCTGAGAAAAATCTCGCCGTAGTAATAACAGATCCATGAATATGTCATGCTATATCATGGCATTAAAAGAGATGCACTAATTCGTTTCCCAGCTCATTTTGGGCCCTGAGTTGAAAGAGGTGTCAAAAAACATATTTACTTTAGGGCAGGGGTGTCCAACCTTGGCAACTTTTAGGAGTTGTGGACTTCAACTCACAAAATTCATGGCTGGCTGGGGAATTCTGGGAATTGAAGTCCACAGGTCTTAAAGTTGTCAAGGTTAGACACCCCTGCTTTAGAAACTGCAGCAACCACATAATGAGGGAAATTTTTATTACTGGGATTGTTAGTTCATTATTATTGGGTTTGCTTGCATTCTGCCAGGTGGGATGGAGTTACTCACAGTGGCCTTAGGATCCCGTCATTGTCTGCCGTGCTATTTGTTTATATGGTGTAACCGTATTGCTGTTTTGTTTTGTTTCCAGCCTAAATCATAAAGGAAACACAATACTGATTTTTAAAAAACACATAGTAAGCAGAGTACAGAATATGAAAGGAGAGACTGAAAAAAGTATGCCAGCGTTAATTATCCCTGTTCATTTGACACCAGGCTCCTGATGCAACGCAAATTTTTTACTACTACTATTATAGCTGTTACATAATTGGTCTACATATGCTGTGTTAAGAGTAGTGCAAAAAGCCAATTTTCTGCTCCTGGTCTTTTAGCTATTACTCCATATTTATGAAGTTAATTGGAGTATTTGGAATCCAGTACATAGCAGGCAGGGTGATTTTATTACAGCCAATCATTATGAACAGGTCAGTGAGCATCCTACCTAAGCCAGCTGAAACAAACCTGCTTGAATATAAGATATTCATATACACTTTTACGATCTCCTGGCTTCATGACCCTTTTTCCTTTCCTTGTTTTAGCTTTGAAGAGCCCAGCTGCATTTCACGAGCAAATAAAGAGTTTGGAAAGAGCCAGGGTGAGAAATCAAGTTCGAACATGATATTTCATTCTTTGCATACGATTGTCTTGGGAAAAGTGCTATACGAAGGACTTTTGGAAACAAGGAGAAATAGTTATAGATTTTTAGAAATGAAACCTGAGTTCCTTCTATAATGAAATTGAAGGAGAACTAATTCAAACAATTCAAACATCTGCAGCAGAATAACCATACAGTCCTACCGTCACTTTCAAAATTAGTTAAACTAATCCTTGCAATTAGACTTACAATATATACTCCCTAGTAATGTATGCTTCATACCTGGCCGTTGAAGTATTATATTTGGAAACCAATAATTATTCATGATATGTTTAGTTATTAACTCAGAATTCTTTTGGGCAAAGGCCGGTATAGTAATTATCTATTTCTTCAACCTAAAGATAAATAATGGAAATTATTTGTTAAACAGTTAAAACCAGGCCATCTTCTCTCACAGTTCTAAACTTGAGAAGTCAAAAGTGTATGTTTAAATTATCAGCTGAATTTTCAAAACTTACTGATGAGGATACAAAAGTGCTAATTTTGTTTTTTTTGTCTTGAAAAGCAGTCTATTACATTTGCTTAGAAACGAAATGAAATAGGGAAATAGCTTGGAGAACTAATTTATTGGTGAAATACCTTGGTGATTTAAAACAAATTTAAAAACACCTACAGTTATATGGACATTTTAATGTTCATGAAGTTTTAGATTATATTTAATACATGAGACCATAATATATTGTAAGCTTTCATGAACAAATAATACAAGTTTATGGGAAAACAACTCACATTTCCTTCTATAGATATATTAATGCAGCTTAAAGTGTTCAATATAAACACTCAGAAGAACAAACTACATTATAAGGAAAAATGACAATTGTTTTAAAATTCAAAGTCTGTTCAATAATACCCCTCATTTACTGATTGCATCTGTTGCACATTTGCTAAGAATTTCAGATTATAGACCGCATTCTGTTTCTGTATGAAGATAGAATTCTGTTTGTGTTATTGCTTTGAAGAATAGAAGTATGCCATCTGTAAGAATAAGTTTCTAATTCTTGAATCCACTGAAACTTGGAGCATAAAACTTGAAGTGGTTCAGTTTGCATTTTACACCTTGCTGAATGAATTACCAAGAATCTGAAATTTTTAAATCATTTTAAAATAAATATTGAACGTAGTTTTATAGTATCAGGCAACATCTTGCAAAGCATTGTCAGATAATAACATTGCTGATAGTGCTTTGCAGTTTCTGTCAATTTCAGCAAAACTGGACTATTTTGTGCTTATTACCACTTAAGTGTTATGTGTACATTTTTACCTATTTTTTTTCCAGACTGAAAACTTTCTGAAGCATAAAATACGCAGTAGGCCTGATCGATCAGAATTAGTCAGGATGCATATTCTTGAAGGTGAGAAACTCCTTACTTTGATTTCCTCTTTCCTGATTAAATTTCTGAATAAATAAATGAACCCTTCTTGGCAAAAAAATGTAAGGTTTTGCATCTTTACCATATGTTTATATTTCCAATCCCAACAACAGGTTATAAAAGGTGTGACTTTCTATGTTAACTAAGTGGCAGTGGGTATATTCAAGCATAATATGGTTTGTTTGACTTTGGTTTAATATGTCATGCACGTGAATCTAATTATTACAGTTTATAAACTGAAGTTTATGGTTCTCCTTGTGAGAATCAAGCTCAGCAAGCGAGAACTGGATTTAAAATGATTTCTTACCTTGATCTGTGATGCAAAACATTATAAATTTAACTAAAAAGGACTAAAGCTTAGGTCATTGGAACAGTTATTTTTATATAGGAGATGTCTCACTTCAGATTTGTTCTGTCTTCTATGATAGGGAAGCTCTGGAAGGTTCTCTCATTTTCTTTTTCTAGTTCTACAACATCTGCTTTGCTAACTCCATAACAACTTTAGATACATGCACTAAACATTGAAGGTAGCGTTTATATAGCATTTCAGAGTTTTTAACCATGGCAGTTCTTTCCCCCCCCAGAAACATTTGCAGAACCCTCTCTCCAGGCGACTCAGATGAAGTTAAAGAGGGCGCGACTGGCAGATGACCTGAACGAGAAGATCGCTCAGAGGCCGGGCCCTATGGAACTGGTGGAGAAGAATATTCTCCCTGTAGACTCCAGCGTCAAAGAAGCAATTATAGGCAAGTAGGACTGTTGTCGCTAGGAATCATAGATTGTGAAAATCTGAAGCGTGAAAATCTGAAGCACGGAGTGTTGCAATACCTATCATAAATGTGCCTTGGTGTTATTGTGACACTTCCTCAAGAGAGCATTCTCGGTTTGTCACTCTGAAAATAGTCTGTTATGATTGGAAACAAAAATAAAATAGACAAAAGAAAAACAAAGGAAAAAAGAATCACACACACACATTTTATTTTTGTATTTCAAGAAAGTATTAATTTTGAGCATATGGAATAATATTGTTCAACCTTTTGTATTACATCCATGGAAGTGATTCTATGATTTTAAATCATAACACAGTGAGTGAACACGTACCATCAGTCAGCTTTGGCCACCTGGATGGTCCCCTCCCCGTAAAAGAATCATCTATTCCATCACCTGCTTGATAAAGCCATTATCTTTTTCTAAAATGGGGGGGGGGGCAATTGGAAACAATCCATATGTTAAGATCTACGGATTAGTTGAGTTTACACCTCGTACAACAAAATTAAATACCATCTTCAGTGTACATTATGATTATGAAAATAAACCAAACACACTTCACATTCTATATGTTGAATTGAAAACCCCTGATATTGCATTAATATTGCACTATACAGTAGAATTCAACAGAGCTACTGCCTTGGGATAGAAACTGTTTTTCAGCCTATTTTTCCTTGTTTTTATTGTCCTGTACCATCTACCAGATGGTAATAGTTCAAAAAAAAAAAAGTGCCCAGGATGAGATGGATTTTTGAGAATGTTTTGAACTTTCTTAAGGCAGTGGGAGCTCTAAAGCTCTTCCAAAGAGGGGAGAAGGCAATCAATGATCCTCTGGGCAATGGCGTTAACCCTCTGGAGCGCTGTCCTATCTGCCACTGTGCAATTGGCAAACCATACACAGGTGCAGTAAGTTAAGATACTCTCTATGGCAGTGGTTGCCAACCAGTGGTTTGCGGCCCACTGATGGTCCACAAGAAAATTTTGGTGGTCCGCAGAGAAATGTCACCCCCAGAGCACCCCACAAAGCAATTAATCCAGGCTGCACGGGAACACAAGGCTGCGCTGCCCACATGGCTGCGGGAACCCTCCCTGCCCACCAACTCCTTACCCGGCAAACTTGCCTGCTAAGTTGCTATTTTTCCATATTTTTCCCCTGACCATCAGCTGTTCTGCTGTGCCAGGAGATTTAGATTAGCTAGAAAGCAGGGAATCATTGGATTTCTTGTTTTCTAGCTAATCTTCAGATCTTTGGCTCTGCTTTTAACCTTCCTTAGGACTGAAGCAGTGCAGACTCAGACAGCCGATGGCAGAAGCACAGATCTCTAAGTGAATCTGTGATTCTGTGAGCCACTCAATCTGCCTGCCTGCTTTGCCTGATTTTGCTCTTTTTTTAATAAAGTTGCTCTTTTTAAATAAAAAATTCAATATTTACATAAATATTTATATTTACATACAAGCCATGCTCAGCCAGTCATATGACTACCAAGCCATACCCACAAATTAGGCCACACCCAAGAACCGGTTGCTAAGAAATTTGAATCCCACCCCTGCCTCTGTGTGTTTGTGTGTGTGTGTGTGTGTATGAGAGAGAGAGGGAGAGAGAGAGGTTAGATCAGATCTCTCTCTCTCTTTCCCACCAACGTCAGCAAGCCACTGTCAGTCAAAATTCATATTAGTGGTCCCCGGGATTTAAAATTATGAGTTTGGTGGTCCCTGAGGTACAAAAGGTTGGCGACCCCTGCTTTATGGTACAGCGGTAGAAGGTCACCAGCAGTTTTTCATTCAGTTGTTGAATGAAGAATTATTAGAATAAAAGTGATTGGGAACACAAGCCTATTCCTCCCATTGATGCATTCACTGTACAAGTAAATTCTCCACTTAAAACCATTTATTTGGTAGCCATTCAAAGTTACAACAGCACTGAAAAAAGTGACCAGTGACCCATCCTCACACTTTTAACCATCCCAGCATCCTCAGGCTCACCTGATCAAAATTCAGGCACTTGACAACTGGCATGTATATATGATGGCTGCACCGCCCTTTGGTCAACGCGATTGCCATTTGCACTTTCCCAGTGGGCTTAATCAATGAGAGAAGCCGGATTCATGAGTAACTGTGCAATTCACTTAACAACTGTGGTGATTCAACTTGAAAACCATGGCAAGGACGTTCGTAAAATCGGGCTCAGCTCCCTTAACCACCACCTTGTTCAGCAACAAAAATTGCGGTCCCGACTGTGGTCGTAAGTGGAGGACCACCTATATTTGCCAATGTCTCCTCTTTCTATAATGTACTTGGCCTTTTTTTACTTTCTTAGCAGTTGGTCAGGAGAACTATCCTCAGACACTGGATGAATTCTCATTTGATGAAGACAGCAGTGATGCTTTATCTCCAGACCAGCCTGGTAGTCAGGAGTCCCAAGGGTCAACCGCTTCTCCCGGAGAGCCCAAAACAAAAGAAATACCCTCGCCTGTTACTCCAGCTTCCTCAGCCACCCAGGTACCCGGCCAGCCATTTGAAATGTTGCTGTCTCCTGATGTAAACCAGGCAGTTTCTCTTTCACTAATAGTGACGTCTTTCCCCCCCCCCTTTTAATGTCCTTATATTCCCCCCACCCCCTCCAGAGAAAAATCAGAGGTCCAGTTTGGCTCTTTGTCACAAATAAGGAGAGAGCAAATCAAATCAGACAGATGGCTTGGTGTTTATGGTGGAGCGTAATTAGTCTTCCAGCCTATGTAGAAACAGCATCCAATACTTCATTATGCCAATTTGTTGAAATAGGCTCTTTTCCATATCTAGTATCGAAGTGTGCTGCATCGGAATCACATGGCTGTGAATGGAAAGGTTATTTGGGCATGATAGCTGACTGTGTATTTAATATTTCTTTTAAGTGAATTGTCAGCTAACCCGCAAAGAAAAAAAATCAACTGTCAGTGTTACAAGTAAATAAGCATTTCCTCTGTAGAATTCTGATTAAACCGAGAGGTCCTTGGTGCTTTCTGAGCTTAGTTGTTTTCTTGCGGATGTTTTCTTACATGTTAGATAACATCATCCGTGCTAGAAGGGAGTGGGGTTAGCACTGATGATGTTACCTAGTTGGGTCAAGAAACATCTGCAAGAAAACAACCAAGCTCATTTCAACCCTGCCCTACAAATGCTCTCCTTTATATGATCAAACTTTCATATGGCTTTCAAGATTAAAAACTGAGATAAGGCATACAGATGTTCCTAAATTTATTTTAAGGAAAAGAAAAACTTGTTGCACACACAGTTCATAATTCTGTTTGGGTTATTATTGAATACTCATCATCATAATTTTTCTTACATTGCTTTTCTTGAGAAATTCAGAATTTCATTATAGTCTGATTTCAGGGGAATATAGATACTAGGAAATATCATGAAATCTCTTTGAAAAGCTGACATCTACTTTATGTTGGAAAATGTTTAAAAGAGCTTTTTCTCATTTTCTCCTCCTCTCAGTATCCCCCCTTAGCAATACCGGGAACTGACTTTTTGAAGCCACCTGTCACAGATCAGCATGTTACACGCACAACAACTGCTGCTCCTCTTACCACAAATTCTGTGACTGCCACAAAACACTGCAGTGGGCCAACACTAATAAAGGTAGGACAGAACAAAACCAGTGGGTGTTGGTTTAATTATACTGCTTTCCTCAACAAAAATGAACATTTTTAACCAGGAATAATAACATATATAATTAGTGGGGCAAGAGCTTTTTAAAACTTTAGGGAAAAAAACCCGACATGTATGCATTGGCAAGCAAGCATGAAATCTTCATCACCATCCAGCTCTGCAGTAACTATTAATCATTTTCCTAAAATAAATATTTTTTAACCTTGGTTATTGGTATTGTAAATACAGTAATTGTATTTTTCAGAATGTCGCCAGCTGGATTAGCGGTTTTGCAGCTACATCTGCCAGTTTCTATAACATTGTTTTTATAAGATCACATTGAATCAAGTAGACAAAAGGATGACATCGCCTTTAAATTATGCCAACTTTTGCTAGAGTCCTTAGCTTGTAATGCTAATCTTTAACACTTAAATCGGAATTTAAGAGACACTAACCAAAATTTTAGGATAATAATTTCTGACCGATGAGGTGAAGCTACAATTCTGACAGCCTACATTATTAACGTACTAATGTTTCTGTCTCAATAATTAGCAGTATTTTTCTCTCAGTAAGATTGTGTTTGGATTGTGATTGTGTTTGCTTTTGTGGGGTAGTTAAGTGAAATTGTTAAGAGCAGCTGCTAAAGTGAAAAGAATGTGCTAAGGCAGCTCCAAAGATAATCATCTTCTGGATTATAGTCAGATACTGAATTCAATTCCAGAATTCTTACTGTTGAATCTATAAATATACTTCTTTTCCAGATCAAGAACCAGTGCAGTATAACAATTTGTGTACAGGTAGTCCTCAATTTACAACCATTTGAATTTACAACAGAGCTCAGAAAAATAAACGTACAGCTGGTCCTCACACTTACAATGAACGAGCCACAGTGGTTAGAGTGCAGTACTGCAGGCTACTTCTGCTGACTGCCAGCTGCCTGCAGTTTGCCAGTTCAAATCTCACCAGGCTCAAGGTTGACTCAGCCTTCCATCTTTCCAAGGTGGGTAAAATGAGGAGCCAGATTGTTGGGGGGCAAGAGGCTGACTCTCTAAACCGCTTAGAGAGGGCTGTAAAAGCACTGCGAAGCGGTATATAAGTCTAAGTGCTTATTGCTTACAACCATTACAGCATCCCCACCATCATGTGATCAGAATTCAGGCATCCGGCAATCGGCATGTGTTTATGATGGATGCCACATCCTAGGAATATGTGATTTTCAACCTTTCCAGCCGGCTTCCAGTGAGCAAAGTCAGCGGGAGAAGCCAGATTTGTTTTAACGACCGCATGATCCACTTAGCAACTGCACCGATTTGCTTCACAACCATGGCAAAAAAAAAGAGTTGTAAAAATTGGGCATAGTCGCCTTCCTTAGCAACAGAAATTCAGATCTTCCATTGTAATTGTAAGTCAAGGACTACCTGTATTAATCAAATCCATGCACAGACATGAACATTCACTCAGTGGCTTTTTCTCATGGACTTGTAGTTGTGGGGATGAGTTTCTGGAGAAAAGAAACATCTGTGTAACGCAGGAGGCTTCAAACTGGGCAACTTTAACACCTGTGGACTTCAATTCCCAGAATTCCCCAGTCGGCATGGGGGATTCTGGGGGTTGAAGTCCACAAGTCTTAAAGGTGGCCCAAGTTTGGAAGCCTCTGATCTAACAAACAAAGAAGCAAACAAAATCTCTACTGAAACATAGAAGAGCAGTTTTGGCTTTAGCATCAGCTCTGGATCCTACCGCAGCTTTGTATTTTCTCTCTGCCCATAGCAACCTCACCCCAAGAACCCCAATGACAGACCTCGGAGCAAGAAATCCAAAGAACCGAAGCCCAGAGTAAAGAAACTGAAGTACCACCAGTATATCCCCCCTGATCAGAAATTGGAGAAAAACGAGCCCCTGATGGACTCTAACTACGCTCGTTTGCTGCAGCAACAACAGCTATTTTTGCAACTGCAAATCCTGAGCCAACAACAACAACATTACAATTACCAGACAATTCTTCCTGCACCACTCAAGTAGGTGAATCTTGGGACTGTTCTTGGCTTGTTTGGTTTCCTCGTCCTCCCCCACACATACTTTCCTCCCCCCTGAAAAAACAAGGAAGGGGGTAATTAATTTTTAAAAAGCCCGTGAGATGAATGTGGTCTGACTTTTTCCTTATTGCCGTTTAGTCTGGGAAGTAACATTAACCCCAACCCAGTTAAAATAGATAACATGCTTGGCGGCTAAAGAGGAGAAATTTGGCAGTACGATTTGAAAGAAATGGATGGAAAAGATAAATTTGGTTTTGAAGGTCGATTTCATCTCTTTTTTTTTTTTTCCCCTTTGAAGGCAAATAAATGACAAACAGGGTAACACTGGGAATGTACCACTCAACGCTTTGAACAACAACAGCATCTCTTCAGTAGCTGTCGGCACACCCAGACTGAACGCTAATATTTCAACTAGAAAGCCAGGACCTCTTCCTCCTAGCTTGGATGATTTGAAGGTAAAATAAATAAATAAAATTAATAAGTGCAGCGTGAAATATCTACCAAGGGTCCTAAATATTGTGTTACCCGAACTCATCCGTCTTTCGAATCATTGTTTTTTGCCAGTTCATCCCCCTGGCAGGTGCCAACTCACCAGCTTCCACACAGAAAATGATCAAAATGTATTGTTTTCAGTTTATCCCCCCCCCCCCCCCCAAATGTAGCTCTAGATCTCGAGTGTCTCCCATATATTTCTGCGTCCCAAATTTCAGGGGGAAATGACACAGATTTTCAGGTATGGAGAACTGCAAAGGAGTCAGGTACATTTTTCACAGGTGGGTGGGAGCTGTGTGTGTGTTTTCTCTCTCTCTCTCTCTCTCTCTTTTTTTTGCAAGATGCCCAGCCACAATCTTGCTATCTTGTTCTAACACAAGCAGAGGTTTGCCCAAGAAGAACATTGCCGTGGTGATAAGTCAATGACTATGTCACGGTTGGCACAAGTGAGTTGGGCTAATTTGCTTCCCTTCTGTAGAGAATAATACAGCAGCATTTCTCAAACTTGGCAACTTTTCAGATGTGTGGACTTCAACTCCCAGAATTCTCGCCAAGCTTAAGAAACACTGGTATGGAGGATGGCCTTGAAGGACAGAGGGAAAACTTAAAGTCAGCCATCAGATAAGTGAAACTTGCACCCAGGCCAAAGGAGTTTCAGCTACCTCAGACAGCCCACTCTCCCAATTCACAAGCAATTAAAGGAGGGAGGGAAGAAAACCCACCCAGGATTGCAAGATTCTGTTACTATAGCCATTCTAGTCCCAAAGGTGCTTTTTTTTTTTTTTTTTAAAAAAAGAGGCAATTGGACTTGGTTTTTTTCTTGAAGACATTTCGCTTCTCACCCAAGAAGCGTCTTCAGTTCTGACTGAATGGTGGAGAACGGAAGGGCTGTTCAGTTTTAACGTAGATGGCTTCTTTGACTCCTCTTTCAAACCAGCTTAACATTGAGCAGCCCTCTCTCAACAACAGGGGAGGAATACGAACGCCACCTATCATCTCCCGTTTACAACACAGTCCTTTCAGCGGTTCCAAGAAGGTGCCACGCTCATTTGCACTATTCAGGTGACCTTGAGGCCACAGGTAAGCCTCCAAATGGTCTCAACGATTTCCGAGAGAGTCAGGTGAGAGAGTGCTAATGACCAGATGACTGCAAGGAATGTAAATCCTTCCGTTCGCCACTATTCAGTCAGAACTGAAGAAGCTTCTTGGAGGAGAAGGGAAACGTCTTCAAGGAAAAACCAAGTCCAGTTGCGTCTTGAAAAAAGCACCTTTGGGACAACCATGACCTGGATGATTGAGAATGTCCAGAGACATGTAGCCATTCTAATGAAAGTAACTTTAGGGATACATGGTGTTTGTTTCTTAGTATGGTCTATCTCATAAGACATGTTTAGTGGTATGTTCAAAAAGTTGCTGAAAAGAGCATCTGAATACTCTAAGGATTGCAGCAACTACCTGATTTTGAGGGGAATATATTGCTACTTTAAAAGCAATAATGACAATAAGACAAGGGCAGACGTAAGAGAAGTTAATAAAGTCATGCACAATGAAGAGAAGGTAAATCACAGTGGATTCTGTGAATTACAGGTACAAACCAGAGTTAGGATGACAGAGGAGATCACTATACATATAGGCCTCAAAGATCCGGTTGTGATCTTTTAGCTTATCTTGTCTGTAGAGGTTATTAAGTGGATAAATAGGATCGGATAGCAGAACACAAAGGATGTTAACTCGAATGGTTTAGAAACGCAGGCAGGAGGATAATTTTAGCATTCTGCCTTCAAGTACTTGCCTATTAATAGTCCTGCTCCATACAGCCAAGAAACAAAATTGCAGCTGTTAGCAGTTAACGTTTCAAAAAGAATAGAGGGTTAATCCCTCTATTCAATTAGACTCACTCTTTTTGGTATTAACTTATTCAGCTATAAACAGAAATATATTTCCATAGCCCTTTTAGCACGGAAGAAATTTTCGGTGCAGAGGTTCTTAAATTGTGGATCAGGGCTTGTTCTGGGGGTCATGAACAGTTCTGGGGTGTGTGTGTGTCCCATTGTTTTGTATTGTTTTTTAACTTGATCAGGCTTGCCAGGCTGAGTGAGCATTGTCAAGAATTCTCTACTGTCTTCATGCTTTGCTTTGCCTGTACAGGTCTTATGGCTGGTTACAGAGCCACAAAGTGTGAGAACCCTCACCAGAAACATAATTAAAATTTAATTACTAAAAGTAGATGGTGTGTTTATTTCTAGCCCAGCCATAACCCCAAAGAAATAATTAGCCTTGTTCATGTGGCTTCACACAAATCCATTGTTCATTTTAGGGGGATCTGGTTTCCTGCTCAAATTAGTTGTGGCAGAAAGAAGTGAAGCTAATGGACTATGAGCTTCTACAGAAAGGCTAAAGCATAAAAAGATTGCCATTTTTTGATTTCCACTCCAACTTTAAAATATAGCTGAAATCCCACAACTGTCCAGCTAACACTGTAAATAAACAAACTGCAAGGACTATCTAGAGGGCTATTACATTATCTACAGGAGTGTTTGGACAACTGCACAAATTAACAGTGTTGTCTGCGTGGCTCCCTCTTCTCTCGACTCTAGAGATTATATTTATAATGATATTTACATTGTTTGGGTTGATATTTATTTCCTTTCTTCCCTCCTTCCCTCCCTCCTTCCCTCCCTTCTTTCACTTCTGAACCAAGAATTTCACTATTTCACTTTCACTATTCAACCAAGAATTACCTTTTTTTCTTCTTGGCTTCCAAACATATGCAGAGTTGAAGCTGCTTTAAAAAAAACACATCCTTTTAAAATGCAATGGAAATTAAATACTATCCAGGCCAGAACTCAAGAGCTCTGTAGGCATCTTACCCTACCAGCTTGCTCATCAGCATGGATGTAGGCTGTATACAGAGGCAGAGATAGACAGATGTAGATGCATGGAAGTCTCAAACAAAGCCCCGAGTTCAAATATTTTGTTTAGGCAGGATCCACACGGCTCCATTGCTTCTAGTAATTTTAATATTTCACGCCCATTATTCAGGGCCCATTGTACTTTTTGGTTTTATTCTGCAGGATTTAAGCAAATAATACGCTGCTGGTGATGTTGTATCTGATGGTGGTAATTCATTTGATTCTTCATTCTAGGGTAGGGGTGTCAAACTCGATTTCATTGAAGGCTGCATCAGGGTTATGTTTGACCTTGGGGGGGGGGGAGCGGTGTCGGCATGGCCAGCTCAACATCACTCGTGTCGGGAGGCATCTGTGGGAGCCCGAGTGTTCTACTAGCAAAAAAGGGCTCCCGAGCTCCGTTTTCAGCTGCAATGGCCTCCTGCAACCCTCGGCCAGCCAAAACGGAGCTCAGGAGAGCCGTGTGAGGCACTGCGGGCCGGTCCTTCATTGTTTCCAGGGCGGCCCCATGGGCAGATCTAAGCACCCTGTGGGCCAGATTCAGCCCGCGGGCCTTGAGTTTGACACCCCTGTTCTAGGAACTTCATTTCTATTAAAAACCACTGTCTCCTCCCCCCTCCCTTCTCCATTTCAGGTAGCTGAACTGAAAATGGAATTAAAGCTAAGAGGATTGCCTGTGTCTGGAACTAAGATGGATCTCATTGAGCGTCTGAAACCCTATCAGGATCTTAACAATAATTCTGTTGGCACAAGTAACACAGGGACAGGAACGGCTTCCAGTAATGGAACCAGTAAACCTGGAGAAGTCACTACACCGTTCCTTGCTGCGCCATTAAATAAGCCGGCAGTGAATTCTGCTCCCAGTACCTCTTCGGAAACAGCATCTGTTGGAACCGGCAGCAAAACAGGCCCCCTGGAACACGTGGGGTCCCCTTTGCCCATTTCCCCTTCTCCTTCGGAACAGTCCAGTCTCAGAATGGACGATACCAACATGGCCGACACTTTGACGGAAATCATGACCCTGATTTCTCCGTCGCAGTTCCCAGGCGCTTCCCCTCTTCGAGCAGCCGCAAACGAAGATGGCGGAATCGCCTCCGGCATGGACCTGGATGCCACGGAGAAGGACCGCAAGCTTCAAGAGAAAGAGAAGCAGATTGAGGAGCTCAAAAGAAAACTGGAACAAGAACAGAAGTTGGTGGAAGTGCTGAAGATGCAACTGGAGGTCGAGAAGAGGAGCCATCAGCAGCAGCAGCAGCAGCAGGCCCAAGCTTCGGCTAACACGGCAATGACTTTGAATCGTCAGCATAACAGCTCCTCTGTGAAAGAAGAAGGCACCGTGGCAGACAGCTCTGAGGCAAGGCAGTTGGTCTCTGATGCCAGCCATGCTTTAGGGCAGCCCAGGTCAGCAGAGATCCAAAATCTAGTTGCCAAAAAGGCCGTGGTTATCAAGCAAGAGATACCTTTGGCCCAAGCGGAGCCACAGAACGTCATCTCTCAATTCTATGTGAGTTCACAGAGACAGCCCCAAACGGCGGTCGTCGCCCATCCTCAAGCTCTGCTGGCTGCCTCAGGGACTGCCCAGCTGCTCCTGCCACTCTCTCTGCAGGGCCCAAATTCAGCCACTTCGGTGCAACTGCCTGTGAGCAACATCCAGGTACATCTGCGGCTAACCATAATCCACTGGCCGCTAGTAGTCAAGGAGACATTCGTGAATGCAACTGGAAATGTGTTAGCTTTTACTCCCCAGGTTATATAGACGAACCTGGAAGCTTCCTGATGTTTTGTAAAAAACAGATTGAGGGGTTTGAGATTCTTGTTCTGAAGGCAAATTAATCATGGTTTAATATAGCAGCAATAGCACTTCGACTTATATACTGCTTCACTTTACAGCCCTCTCTAAGCAGTTTACAGAGTCAGCCTATTTCCCCCCAACAATCTGGGTCCTCGTTTTACCCACCTCGGAAGGATGGAAGGCTGAGTCAACCTTGAGCCTGGTGGGATTTGAACTGCCAAATTGCAGTCAGCCGGCAGTCAGCAGAAGTAGCCGGCAGTACTGCACGCACCACTGTGCCACTGCGGGTCTTAATATCCCCTTGCACGATGGTGAATAGCTGGTATAACGTACTGTCTTGTGGAATTGGGTATTAAACAACTCCCTATAGACCTGATGGTCCTTCAAATTATCTCTAGTATTGTCTAAGGAGAAACTGTTATGAATGCAATTGAGGGTGCTTTTGTTTCATTTTCAAAGAAATTACAGATTCTTGTAATGGGTTGGGAACTGACAATACCATAGCTCTATTCTTCTGCTTTTTCCAATGAAGTGTTATAGAATTGGGGCCGATATAGTAATAAGGTATCTAATAGGTAATCTGAATGGGATAATGGGTTACCTAAACCCTAAACTATTTGTATTTTCTAGGGCAAATAGCTAGGGAGCAAAAATTCAAATGTTTACTTTGATCTAAAAAAAAGTTCTTATCCAATTAACATTTTAAACAGATTTTGGCTAAATTTATTTCTGTTATCCCTAAAAAAATGTCTTGTCATCATAAGGCAATACATGTCCATGCACACACACACACACACACTTTCCATATGATAAAATTTACCTTTGAATTTAGCTGCTGGGGGGTTATGGCATCCTCATTTGTCCAGTTCATCAGATGGTAGTATATTATAACTGGTGCATAACTATCAATCCATTTTATTCCTTACAATTTTGTACAGAAATTTCACTTAAATATGGTAGAAGTCCTGCATTTTTTTTTTCATTTGAAGTAGACTGGGATTGGAAAATAATGCATCTTGGCTACCTTGACATTAATGCAGTTATCTTCTGCATCCAGCAAATTGAAGCCATACATTTTTATTTTAGGTTCAAACACAAGCTGGTATTCCGGCCATCGCACAAGTATCTACTTCTGGTTTGGTCCCCAAAGTACCACAGATGCACATGTCAGCCCCCAAACAAAATGCTTCCCCGCAGCATGCAGCTGGCCAAAGCTCAGAAAACAGAAAGGTTGGTGAAGGTTTATGTACAAAGGGATTATATCCTGTAGCTAAAGTTCTGTATTCTATTATTTGTGTGGGGTCGTATAGTCACCCTTCAGTAAAACAAGATGCAGGATGGAATAACATGCAGAATTAGCAATAACAATAATACTTAGACTAACATACCATTTCACAGTGCTTTACAGCCCCCTCTAAGCGTTTTATAGGGTCAGCCTCTTGCCCCCAATAATCTGGGTCCTCATTTTACCCACCTCGGAAGGATGGAAGGCTAAGGCAACGTTGAGCCGGTGGGACTCGAACTGCATTCAATACTGTATTCTAACCATTGCGCCACAACGGCTCTTTTATTTAATCAAGCGTTGTCCTGTTCTGATGTTCAAATTTAGCCAGAATATTTGTCCCGTTTGAAAGTAAATCCTTGAATTATTTTGCATAGATAAGTGAGGTATAGATTATTTCATTATACTTAGAATTTTAAAAAATGTTTTAGAAAGAGTTAAATTCTCTAGTGTGGCACATCTGCTGTCTGACATAATATTGTTTTCAGACATTCAATTTTAAAATGTTGCATAGCTGGTTTCTGGTCTTTATGCTTTCCATTATGTTGAGCTACAGGTCATTTAGTTATCCACTCTGAAGGCAAATGTGTGTTCATTGCACATGTGTTTATTATGTTTTGGGTGCACATACATGTATGTGAACAAAGACAATAGGAATGTTCCTCTGTAAGTTTCCACTGTTTGGCATCTTAACACCTCACCCCCAGGGAGGGTCATATTGTTCGGAAACAATGCAAGGACTAAATAATACATCTTTCATAAGGAAAACATCTATGGAGATTCTCAGTCATCCAGATTATACTTGTCCCAAAGCTGCTTTTTCAAGAGGCAACTGGACTTTGTTTTTCTTTGAAGATGTTTCTTCGGCTCTGACTGGATGTCCTTCCATTCCCCACCATCCAGTCAGAGCCGGAGAAGCTTCTTGGATGAGAAGAGAAACATCTTCAAAGAAAAACAAAGTCCAGTTGCCTCTTGAAAAAGCAGCTTTGGGACTTCTTAAGGAAAGTACTTGGATTCTTTTCTGGACTGATTGAACTCAATTTAAGTTTTTTAAAAATTATACTATAAATATTCAGGTTTGTTTTTAGTGTTTTCCTATCAACCTTGCATAATTTTGTTTAAATATTTTTATATAGAGTTTGTTCAACATTGTATTTTGTTTTTATAGGTATTTCCTCCTACCTCACCTAACACAGTATTTTCCTATCAGAATCCGTCTGCTACAAACCTTCAGCAACCTTTGTTTAAGCCAGCATCAAATACGACGCCTCACTCAGGGAACCAAGCACCCTTAGTGCAAAATGGACCGAACCCTCTCCAGAAGGTAGCGCTTGTTCTCCATCGTAGAGGCCCGTCCTGCCAAAAGAGCATCGCTCGAAGGCTTGAGACATCCCATCTAGGATGATCACAGCACCTCTCTTTGCAGTGTTGATGGTTACCTCTTAAGCCCAGGGGGGGCATCTTGTTCTAGCTCACGTTGTAGGGACCATGTGCTAGAGGTAGGCATTGTCACAGACCTCAGAGCTCTCGCACGTACATACAGGTATTTTGCACACTTAGAATAGCAATAGTACTTAGACTTATATACCGCTTCACGGTCCTCTCTAAGCGGTTTGGAAAGTCAACATATTGCCCCCAGACATGTGGGTCCTCTTTTTACCAACCTTGGAAGGATGGAAGGCTTGAGTCAACCTTTGAGCCAGTCAGGATCGAACTTCAGATGATGAACAGAGTTAGCCTGCAATACTGCATTCTAACCACTGCGCCACCACGGTTGGAAAAAGCAGCTGCGGGTTCCATTCTTAGTGCCTAACGTAGGACATGTAAGAGACTGTTTGGTGTAGATGTTGAAATGTTGAAGCAAGAACAGGGAAACCTGAATTCTAGTCCTGGCTTAAGTACGGAAGCCACTAGTGATTTTGAACCAACCATGCCCCCCCCTCAGCCCTAGCAATGGCAAAACTCTTCAGAGAAATATTGCAAGAAAACCACGGGGATTTGTTCCTCTAGTTTGCCAGGAGTCGAGAGTGACTCGAAAGCAGAAAGGTGGGTAGGATAGCAGATCACTTGAAGCCTTTGCAGTGCTCTGGGAAGGAGGAGTTAACCTGCCAGTTAAATCCTCCTCTGCATAGCATTCATTATGAGCTACAGTGGCGCAGTGGTTAGAATGCAGTACTGCAGGCTACCTCTGCTGACTGCCGGCTGCCTGCAATTTGGCAGTTCAAATCTCACCAGACTCCAGGTTGACTCAGCCTTCCATCCTTCCAAGGTGGGTAAAATGAGGACCCAGATTGTTGGGGGCAAATAGGCTGACTCTGTAAACCGCTTAGAGAGGGCTGGGAAGCACTGTGAAGCGGTATATAAACCTAAGTGCTATTGCAATTCAGATTTGGAGAGGAAAAAAACTCCTTCCCTTTGGGAATGTTGCAGTAGAAGCTGTTTTGATCAAGTCTGAGGATGGAACGGAAAGAGATTACTGTAGTCAGAACAAACCCTTCATGCGTTGGAGATCCCGTGTGTCTGTTTGTTGCAGACCTCATGCTTATCTTAGAAGAGAAGTGGTCTCCCCCCCCTCACTCTTTTAATAAAACATTACAATACGTTATCTCCGTGATTTGAGATTGGTTTTAATAACAAAACAGGATAATTATGCCCTCTATCACTAAGTAGATAAAAAAGGAGAGATGGGTCTCTTTAAAAACTTTATTTAAAATCTGTTTGTTGACACATTTGTTTGCTAACTGAATCCGTTGTTCCTGGCAGCCACCTTCCCCAGCTCAGTCCCAGCAATACCTTTTGCAACAGTCCTTGTTCAACAGTTCAGGAACCAAATCAAAAGACCCTCCACGCTACGAAGAAGCCATCAAACAGACGCGCAGCCTGCATTCTTCTCAAGAAGTAAGTTTGGAAGCAGTTAACAGACCTGTTTATTTATTCTGATACATCTTATTGAGGCACCCAGCTTCATTAAGGAATCGATAAAAGAGATGTGATGTGAGCCCTTCCATTTGCTCTAACTTCAAGTAGACATCGCTACTCAGTCCTAAAAACACAGACGGCAAGATGCGTAGTTGCAGTTTTCCAGAAATCTTAAAAGCGAATTGGTTTCCGGAGTGTCCACCATGTCAACATTCCCTCAGAGGGCAGGCAAAGATAGTCATGCCAAACCATGGAATTGGGGTTTGGCTCAACTAATCCTTCATCAGAAAAAGAAAAAGAGAGAGAGTTTTTCTTTGTAAGGGAGACCAAAAATGTTTTAAGGGGGAAAAAAAAAAAAAAAGGTCGTTTAAGGAGAGGGCATCTGTGACAAGATAAAATACCTGCTTACTCATGAATATAGCTGATGGAATATGACTTTTTAACAGTCTCAGCCAGCCAGTTTGGCAACAGCTTTTATAACAAGGCTGTCAAGGATCAAAGAGAATGAGAAGCTTTCTTTACAGATCAGCTAGTTGAGGAGGGGAAGGAAGCCAGATATCAGTTTGCTTCAGCAAGAAATTCTGCTTGCCAGTTCGTGGCAGATGCTGCTGTTAGGTTCAGTACAGGAGAAATGGTATTTTGTCTGACTTTGCTGGTCCAACCACTTCAAGTTTCTCCTCTCCTTAACACTGCCAAGTTTTGCTAAAACCACCAGCTGGAAGGGCGTTGCACACAAAGCTTTTCAGTTGGAATTACCAAATTGAGTTTGCCAGTTAAAAGAGAATGTAACTCAATTTCTTGATGAAGGTACTTTAGAAGCTTTGTACCTCTTGTGTGTGTTTTTTTTTTTTATAATTCTTGTTTCTTTGTTCTTTGCTCCCTTCTTCTGATGTTTCTGCTTATTGGCCAGGAGACTAAAATTTCAAGGCAACTGACTGGGCAGCTGCATAACCAATTATGAAATTAAAGGGGCCAGTTAAAATAAAAAGCCAATTCAAAAAAAGAAGTCCTTTTTTGGTATGATTAGTCTTTATCAGGGCTTTCAAATTCCCAGCCCATGGGCCAAATGCATCACGCGCTGGCCACGCCCGGTTTAGCGAAGGGGAAAAAAAGTCCTGATAAATCACGTGACACCGCTGTGATGACGCGAGCTTGACACCCCTGTTCTATATGCTACCCTCAATTATTTTGTTCCATTAAAAGATAAGTGAAGCTTTCAGATAGGGCTGTTTTCCTGTTTGGGATATGGGTTGACTAACATTAAGGATGCCAGTATGAATTTATTCATTTATTTTTATTGATTTGATTTGTCAATCGCTTACAAGATAATAGGTATAGGTATAAACATAGTTATGAATACATGAAATGGATACATATCAGAAAAATAAAAGAAACAATAGGACAGGGACGGTAGGCACGTTGGTGCGCTTATGCACGCCCCCTACAGACCTCTTAGGAAAGGGGTGATGTCAATGGTGGAAAGTCTAAGGTTAACGTTTTTGGGTTTTGTATAAATTTATTGGCACGGTAGAATCTTGCAGTCAATAGATATTATTGGAAACAGACATGGATGAGAACTTGTCATCCATGGTATGGATGATTCATGGTGATCCAGTGGTATGAACTTTCCTTTAGTAGTTCCACAAGACAGAACAATATGAAAATTTGGGGCAAAGGTCAATGCACCTGGACATTCATGGCAGAAAAGCAGCTTACCTGAGTAACTATAGCTAGCAGGGAAAATGCTTGCTGCTCTTTTTCTGTATAGTAAATGCTATGGTGAACATGCTTTGAATAGATCAGAGGTGGTATTCAGCAGGTTCTGACCAGTTCTGGAGAACCAGTAGCAGAAATTTTGAGTAGTTCGGAGAACCGGCCAATACCACCTCTGACTGGACCTGCCAACCCCATCCATTCTCCGCCTCCTAAGTCCCAGCTGATTGGCTGGGTCTTCTTTTGTTGCCCAGCACAGGAGAACGGAGCTGGAAAGCAGGTTAGGGGGGTGGGGAGGGAATGGGGATTTTGCAGTATCCTTCCCCTGCCACGCCCACCAAGCCATGCCCACCAAGCCATGCCCACCAAGCCAAGCCCACAGAACAGTTAGTAAAAAAAATTGAATCCCACCACTGGAACAGATGTTCCTCACTGTGTCCTTCTTTTTATATTTTTACTACCTGTTATACAGTGCACCTGTTTTGTATGATAGCAGGCGGGTTTTTCTCAGAAAGACTTGTTTTGCAAGCATATTTCTCAGAAATGTGTTTTGTGAACGTTTCATGTTTACTCTAATTGAATTCAGCGGAGTCTGTTTCTAATTTAGTATGTATTTGGACTTCAGCTTTAGCGGAATGAATTCTTAGCAGTTAATCTCGAATCTGCAATATGTCCCTGGGTGTCCAATATATTAATATAGATACGTATCAGATTGTTAATTCTTCAGGAGCTAGTGGGATTTTCTGTATATCTATAGCTTAAATACAAACATAGATTGTATCGCTACATTTTTTTATGATCCCAACCAGTGGTGGGATTCAAATTTTGTTACAACCGGTTCTGTAGGCATGGCTTGGTGGGCATGGCAAAGGAAAGATATTGTAAAATCTCCAGTCAGAGGCGGGATTTGCCGGTTCTCCGAACTACTCAAAATTTTCGCTACCGGTTCTCCAGAATTGGTCAGAACCTGCTGAATACCCACCTCTGATCCCAAACTATCAGAATACAAATCATCTTTTTACTTTGGCAAATGCTGTGGTAAAATAATCAGTGTTTTTCCTTCGTTAACAGATTTCCAGTGCCCACAGCCAGCAGATGGACGATCTTTTTGATATCCTCATTAAGAGCGGAGGTGAGATGCACTGAAATAGAGCACATGACTCTACTGGTAGACCTTACAACTGTTCATTTAGTCACCATGGGAAGTTACAACGGCACTGAAAAAAGGGACTCGTGACCGTTTTTCACGCTTACGACCACTGTGGCATCCCCACGGTGATCAAAATTCAGACACTTATCAACTGATTCATATTTAGGACAGTTGCAGTGTCCCCGGGTCATGGGGTCATGTGATCACCTTTTGGCACTTCTGGCAAGCAGAAGTCCATGAGGAAGCCAGATTCACTTAACAACCATGCTAAGTCTTGAGTGAACCATGTTCACTTAACAATTGTGTCAAGAAAGGTCTTAAAAGGAATAGAAATGTTGGAGTCAATTGTGTTCATAAGTTGAGGACTACCTGTGCTTGAGAATTTGATTTTCGAATGTCTTTAATCTAGAGGACCACGTTAGGAGTGTTCTAAGGAATAAGATACAGAATCCATTGTTTTTATTTTAATGGTGGAACGACTTGTATTTATTATTGGACAAAATAACAAAAAGTGCAAAATTAATCCAGGAACAGAACATTGTTCCCTCTCGGCCATGCCAAACCTCCTCCTAAATCATACCGTTTCAGGGGCATTTTGGCAGTTTCTGAAAGTGAATCATTTGAACTGGAAGTGGTAACCAGCGATCCAGCCAAGCCATCGTGTTTTGAATGCAACAGGCAGGCTGAAGGCCAGAGGTTTTCATAATATTCTGTGGCTGGATCGACTAGCTATGAATATCTGTACAGGGACCGTTTTGGACTCCTGCAGCATTTTGGCTGAGTCAGAAAGATCAAATGTGGCGATTCAGGATTATAACAGTACCAGATTTGTTGTTTATTATTCAACACAGAACATCCAGTTTATCATCTCTGTGTTCATCGTTAATGGTATAAGTAATAATTTTAAAACCATCTCAGGTTGGCTCAGTCCCAATCTCTGTCATAGATCAAAACAATTATTGATAATTTTTAACTAGCAAATGGAGGGGTAATTATATTATGTTTTCCTGATTCAGTCATTTTTTAACCTGCTGTTCTGAGTAGAGATCTTGTGCCCATTCAGTCATTATAGTGGTCTGTGGACCTAAGCTGAAAAAATTTGAAATACTGTAATTGATTCACTGAAATGGTTGTCTGTTTAATAATAAACCGAAAGCCATTTTAGTTCATGGGTTTCCCGTGATAGAAAGTTTTCCTAAATGGTTTCCCGTGATAGAAAGTTTGCCACAAAGTAATACTCCTTTTTTATACTGATATTGTTGGTCTGATGTTGCCTTGTAAATTATTTATAACAAAGTTCAGGAGTAAAGATTGACTTAGGGACTTAAGAGTAATAAAAGTTCACTGTGTCAAAAATGTATTTTGTTAAAGCAATCTACTGAAGTGAGTTCTTTCCTTTTTACTTTATGGATTCAATGAAACATAGAGCTGGTTTGGTCTAGTGGTTAAGGCATCAGGCTAGAAACCGGGAGACATGAGTTCTAGTTCCAACTTTAGACATGATAACTTGCTGGATGACTTCAGGCCAATCGCTAGGAGACGGTGAGTTCTAGTCCCGCCTTAGGCCTGAAAACCAGCTGGGTGACTTCGGGCCAGTCACCAGGAGACTGGGAGTTCTAGTCTTACCTTAGGTATGAAAGTTGGTTGAATGACTTTCAGCCCATCCCACGTCACAGGGTTGTTGTTGTGGAGAAAATAGCAGGAAGAAGGAGCATTAAGTATATTCACTCCCTTGAGATATTTATAAAAACAATAAAAGACCAGATTTTTTTTTAAAAAAAACTGATTTATCCGCCATTGTCTTTTCTACAGAGATCTCTATGCCTATGAAGGAAGAACCTTCTCTGATTTCCAAAATGAGGCCAGTTACCGCCAACATCACCACAATGCCAGTCAACACTGTGGTATCACGTCCTCCCCCACAAGTCCAAATGGCCCCTCCTCTCTCCTTAGAGCCAACGAGCAATTTCTCTTTATCTCTGGAGAACCAGTTGGAAGCTCTTTTGGAAGGCACTCTGCCCTCAGGAAATGAGATGCCTCACCTGACGAGCAGTAACGAGGAAAAGGAACCCTTCTCGGTCATTGAGGATCTACAGAATGACCTCCTTAATCATTCTGGGATCCTAGATCACTCTCACTCCCCAATGGAGACCTCTGACTCACAGTTCACCCCCAGTTCCTGTTTGTCTCTTGACCTCCCAGACCCAAATTTAGACAATATGGAGTGGTTAGACCTCACCATGCCAAATGCTTCGTCGGGATTGACGCCGCTCAGCTCGACGGCTCCCAGCATGTTTTCCACAGATTTCCTTGATCCGCAAGATCTGCAGTTGCAGTGGGATTAAACCGCAAAAGGCAGAACCGACTTGACCACGTTTTTAAAAGCTCCACTGTAACAAAAAGGTCCATTGTTTCAACTCTCCTTTGTTTTCAAGCTCATCTCTATAATTATCTTAGGGATTTTTAAAAAAAATAAATCACAGAGTACAAGGTTTTTTTTTTTTTAAAAAAAAAAAGATTAGGAATGCTCCAACGAGAAAGGATTGTGATTACTGTAAGCTTAGGAGAATGTGTCACGATGCAGCGATTCAGGTGAGTGGGCCCGTTGAAAGCAAACTATTTGGCTTAAGAACAATGCTGTAGCACCTTTCCGTCTCTACGGACACCCTCAACAAAGCTTTCAGTTACATGGTGAGAAAGCTTCTGACTGAGCTAAAAACCAGTGGGATTTTATAAAAGGATGAAACTAGACGCTGTTTGGATTTCTTCATGACTTAAAAAGCTCCTTTCTCCCACTAGTCAATTCTTTTAAAAGACGAGCAGATGTTTCCTTTTTTGACTTGCCACGTTTATTTGTGGAGCCTGCTAAAATCCTATGCATCTTTATTCAGAAATAACCGCCATTCTATCCAGAGCAGCTCTTTCTCCTATAAGAATGCATAGAATTTCAGCTTTAAATCGACCATATTACTTGAAAAAAAAAAAAGTCTTTGATACATTAAAAAGGTGCTTTTGGTTAGTTTTGACATTTGTGTGTCTGTGTGTGTGTGATACAACTGATCGTATAACCTGTAGACAGAAAGTGTGCCATTAGGGAAAGGTTATCTTCTTTCATGTATGAAAAGGAGACTGTCTGTGTGCAGCAACTGAAAAAAAAAAAAAAGAAGCCCCCCCCCCCCCCCCATGACAATTATTGGCAATGGCAAACCTCTGAAATGGGAATTGCCATCGTGTGTAATAATGAATTAAATTCAGGGTAAAACTTTGATTTAATTTGTGCAGAGGATACGCAGGAACTGGTGCATATTGGGAAAAATATTTCACACACTTCCCCCACTCCAAACATCAGTTGTCATCTTACCATATTTAAAGTACTTAAAATCAATTTTTTTTTAAAATCTGGTGTTCCCATTAATTTGGTTTAGAAGATAATCTACGGCATTAGAAATAATAAAGGTATATCTATTATAGGAGAACTGCTTTCTTTTAAAATTTATTAAGCCCTTTTGAAAAAAGAAACATAAACCGAGAAAATTTAAGGGACATATCAAAAGAATATAGGAGTAAAAACCAAATAAGAAAATATAAATAAGAAAAAATGGGATCTAAAATGTTAGAGAGATTATTTTTAGTATGTCATTATTTAGAAAATAATTAAAATACCATTTTTAAAGAAAAAAATTAAAATCACCATTAAACTTTAAATTGAGGATGACTGGTTAATACAGTAAAAATTGCTAACTGAATTATTAAATGATGGGGGCTATTTAAATGTTATGTTATAATACTCCTTGTCCAAAATTAAAGTCCTGGGAATGTTATTCTTCATTTTAGAATTTAGTATTGTGCTCATGGAGCACTGCCCCTGATTAGGGTTTTTCCCCCCCCAGTTCATCCACCCTATGGATTATGAATTAAGTTTCGCCGTTTAAAAATGGAAATACACACACAGAGCTTTTTTTTGAAACCAGCATCATCTTTTAAATGAAGCCTGGGATTTAATACTGCTGTGAAAAAGAAACATAAAGGACAAAAAATCTGTCTGACAAAAGCAATGCCATGCCATCCCAATGCAAGCCCCCTCCCTTTTGCGCGTAAGTTGTGACGTTGCACACTTATCCCCAAGTCTCTGGCAATGCTCCTTTTCCTAGATTTGACAAAAGCAAGCAGAGTTGTGGACTTTCATGTTCCAGTGTAGTCATTCTACCTCCGTAGTCAGGATGTTCTAAAACTTTTCAGAATTTCCCACTTTTTATTTAAATAGCATATGCATAAATGAGTGCCATCACCCATGTAACAACTTGAATCGGTTCTATCCAAAATGAACACAGGAAAGGGAGCATCTGTTTCCCTGCATAACTCCAGAATTTCACATAAATTAACCTTTGGGTATCCTTTGGATATGCCAGGAATTTCTGCATGCAAAGCATCTAGGGCTGGATTGAAAAATTGACAAAATCCCTTCAACATCCAATACTTTTGAACACCATCAGAGCTATTCAACCTTTCCCAATGTTGTACCATAGCCTATAATATATATATATTCTCGAAGGTGGAGATTTAAAAAATAAACTGTAAACGGCAGGTCTCAACTTCTGTTTGTAAAGCTCAGCTAGCTGTCTTTTTAATCATGAAGAAATTTAAAGGAAAAAAAAACCCAACCAACCTTCTGCAGTAGTGTTTCCCAACCGTGGCAATTTCCAGGTATGTAGACTCCCAATCAGTCCCAGAATTCTGCATTGAGCATCACCCTTGACAGAATTCTGGGGGGGTGGGGGGTGAAAGTCCATGCACAAACGAAGCTGCCAAGGGGGAAGCACTGTTCTACGAGATTGCTCAATTGGGTTTTTCAAGCCAAAGTTGTCTTTTCATTCCACAGAACCAGATGAATTCGATTTTTTTTTGAAAAACAGAACCTGGTCAGAATTTGGATTGTTTCTCGTTAGAACAGTGCTTGGGGACCTTTTTTACTTGTGCTGTTACGAATCCCATAGAATTGTCATTGATTCAAGGAGAACTAATCTGGTCCCGCCAAGCCATGTTTTGTTTAGTGTTTATTATCCAATACACAATATTTTGAGCCGGTTGTGTATTTGCCGTGCATATTTGCCGGTTTGTTTTCTCCTGAAAGCCATAACTGTGAAGATGCCAATTCAGGTTGGCTTAATTGTCGAGACGAGCTTTGATGTTTTAGGAACCATTTCTGGTGTCAAGGTAGTTCAAGGCCAAAACCAAAAATACTGACAGCTTCCCCCTAAACATCAGTTTGGGATCCTTGTTTGGAACAATATTCTTACGCCATTTTGCATTCTTATTTTAGAGCTGTTGTATGCTCTTATTCAAACAATACACTAAACTTTCTTTGTGATTTAGTCTAGAGCTAGGAGTGTTTTCAGCCAGACAGTATGAAATGACTTTGAGAGAAAGTAAGTATTTTCAGTTTTACCATTCCATTTCCCCATCCTTTGAGGGAGAATAATCTTCTGCTAAATATCTTTTCCTCCCACATATATCAGTTTGAAATAATATATTCAATACTCCATCCTGGGTTCAGTAGGGACAACGATGAGATATGAGCTCTATATTGCTGTAAGTTAGAATAGTTTCCATAGATGCATCATATATGATGTTTTAATCCAAAGAAGAGCAGATCTCTTGACTTTATCTTTAATATGGATGATTAGCAAATCTGACTTTCCATCCCCAACCACCTTTGAATTTAAGGGACAGTTTGCCTTTTCAGCAAGATGTGCTTATCTATATATACCTCTCTTTTTTGAATTCTACCCCAGAGCAAATAGAGAACAAGGAGAAGGGCCCTGGAGAAACCAGGGGAGGCTGTTCCATTAGCTTCCCCTGGTTTGGTACCTTTCAAAAGTATCAGACTTCGAGTTTCTTAAACTCCTTGCCCCCATAGCAGTTACAGAAATGTGCTGGGCTGGGGAGTTGACTTACACCGTTAGATATATTTCTGTTATACATGGTGCATCTCAGTAGTTTCAAAATTGATTCTACCTGAACACCCTGGTAAATGTAAAAGAACCGTCTTTTCCAAGCAGCTCCCCTCCCAGCCTCCCTGATTGTCAGTCCAGTTATTGACACTGAACAAACTTCTTCCTCTTTTGTCATGTTAAAATGCCAATACTGTATAGGCAGCATGTAGTGGAGTAGAACGCAAGATGTGGGATCCATGGAGCTTCTAAAAACGTGCCAGCAGTCTGGTTTTAAAAAACCTCTCCTGGGAATGCGGGTGTGCATCTCTCACTGTGTGCTGGAACCTGCCAGGATCTGTCTACGGAGCCTGATCCACACAGTTTGAGAAGTACTTTCTTATAGCTTGTAAGCAATAGTTTGTACTTTCCAACTCACCATCTGCTAATCTCTCTTGGCTTAGAAGGCGCCACAATCGTCTGTTAGTTTGTGGGAAGCTTTTTGGTCCTTTTACTGACTGGGCTGCCATTGCAGAGAGCATGTACATAGAGCTTTTTTAAAAAAAAAAAAGTATTGTGTGGTGCCACGCTACACGAATGCCCTCATGCATGGTGTGCTATCCAAGCCATACAGGAGCATGTACAACAGAGCATGCAAACCCAGCCTGGAATAAAATCCAGGCAGCATAGTGTGGTAAGCAGTGTGAAGCTTCCTTCTAGGAAGAAAACAACAGCAACATTAAGGGATCATGAACATTTATAACGGAATCTTATTTATTTTTAGGTTAAGAGTGTGTGTTGTTTTCTGTGCATTTCAAAGCAGAACTTTATTATGAAACATATCTGGGTTTGCTTTTAATCGGACAACCTGAGATATCTTTACCAAGTGTATGTGAACCTGATATTTGTGAACAGTTTCTTTATATTTATATACATATACATATACATACATACATACATACATACATACATGTATGTATGTATGTATGTATGTATGTATGTATGCATGTATATAAATATACAGACATATATATTATTGCTTGGGTAATTTCTGCACACTTGTATATATGTATATATATATTTTGTAAGATGAATCTGATTTGGATCCTTATCTTTGATTACAAATTGCACTGCTAGCCTCGTTTTTCTCTGCACAAAAAACACTTGGAGTTTGTTTAGTAGTACTAAGCATGCCTTCTGAACAAAATATCAATTTTGACTGCAGCTACGTGGTTCTCATTTGCTTAGTATTGCCTGCTTTTTGCTTTTTGCTTTCCTTTTTCTCTTTTATGAGATCAGTCCACTCATGGGAGTTTCACCTGCAGTTACACCATCCGGAAGATCATACTTTGGAGAATGGCTAGAATGAAAACTACCATTGCCTGGGTTGGCTTGTTTCTTTCTAGAACCGTGAAGGAAGAGAGTAGCAGCAAAGATTGTTTCAGGAGAACAAGCCTAAATCTCTTTGCCAGCTGGTGTTCTGTGTCCAGAATATACATGCTTGCAATGTAGTGCCAAATGGGCTGCTCAGAAGTCAGATAGGGATGAATGAGTGGTAAGTTTAAGATAGGGAGGGAGGGAGGGAGGGAGGGAAGGAGGGAGAGAGAGAGAGAGAGAGAGAGAGAGAACAAATAAGCAAAATGAGATTCTTTACTACCAGTTTCTGCTATAAGGGTATAGATTTCTTCAGTGTCCTCCAATATAGAGATTTCAAGGTGGCATGTTATTGTTATTCCTAGTCGTGTACATATGATGCCATGTGATAGTTCAATGATGGTATTCATTGTTTTCATAAACTAGAGACTATCGGCATATTGCATAAATCTGTGCAATTGTGCAGAGAGAGAAAGTTAATATTTATATCATGGTTATGGTTTTCAGTTTGGACTTTTTTTATACATGCCAAAAATTCTGCTTAACAGATCTATTTGGGTGACATTTTCAAGTCCTTTTGTAGCCGAATAGGGACAGAATATATAAAAATGTTTCTTATCAACCTCTCTTTTTAAAAATACTTCAAATTCTTGATTCATCAGCAACAGTTCAAAAAAAAAAAAGTGGGTTGACAGTCTTGGGCCCTTTGACTAAGAAAATAAACTCTGTTATTTTATGGGGACTGACTTCTGAGTAAACCTGGTTTGATTTCCACTGCAGGCATATATGTTGTACACACTAACATGACTTACGTAGCTATAGCTATAACTCCAGAGCCAATTAGTGAATCTGTTTATATTTAATGGCTTAACTCCCCAAAACCTTTTTTCCTCTTAAGTTTTCAAACCGCTTTTCATTGTGAAAAGCAGAGGATCATCAAGGATTTCTGTAGTACTCTGGACAAAGTAAGTTAATAGTTGATGTGCACAATCTGTAAACAGCCTAGACCAGGGGTGGGATTCGGCTGGTTTGGGCCAGTTCGGGTGAACCTGATGTTAAATTTAATCTAGTTCGCTGAACCAGTAGTTGAACCAACCGGCTGGCCCCACCCACCCCTCCCCTCCTCTCCCCTCCTCGGACTCTCCACGTGGCCTGTTTTGGGTGGAGGTGAGTGCAGGGTCCGTGTGGAGGCTCTGGGAGGGGGGAAAATGGCCCTCCTGGAAATTCCGGAAGTCCAGAAATGGGCCTGTTTCCTGCTCCCAGAGGGCCTCCGGAGCCCGGGGGAGGCCGTTTTCACCCTCTCAGAGGCCCGAGGGAAGCTTCCGGACTCTGGGGAAAGCGAAATACAGCCCTCCCGGAAGTTCCGGTAGGCCACGCCCGCTGTGGCCACGCCCACCCAGCAACTGGGCAGAAAACCAATTGTTGGGATTTTTGAAACCCCCCCCCAGCCTAGACGCACGAACCACCATAAAGCCAAAGTACTTTTAAGTCTCCAGGTAATCCACGGGATTCTAAAGTGTTTTTATTTTGCCTGGATTATACCTCACTTATCAAGTCAGTGGAACTATTCCTAACACGCTGCATTGGAATTCACTTGCTCTCAAATGAGAATAGTTGCAAAGTTCTGTTAGAACTGGAATTACGGAAATGCAATTGCACCTATTTGTGGATGAGCAAACTATGTCGTTAGGCAACGCTAATATATGGTTGTGTTGAATTTTGCATGTTGATAATAAATTAGACCGCTTGTCCTTTTGATAAGAAATCACGATCATTGGCAGCTCTTTACCTCCTGGCCCCATTGTACAGTTAATTATAGTCTATGTTAGCAGGACATGTATAATTTCTTCATAATTATAAAAAAAAATGGAACCTTGTAAAAATGGAAGCGATTTGTTTCATGAATCACGTTTATCATGTGCAAACAAATTGTGTTGCACCTGTTGAAGAAGAACCTAAGAAAGGTTTCAAATATATGCACATCTAATCTGAGCTTGGGAAGCCCCTTAGCTCTGCGTTGCCTATAGCCGAGGCCAGAATGTGTCTGAACTAATACGTAGTCCTAGCCTAAAAAAAATAAATAAAAAATAAAAAAAATATCTGGCAAGTGCCATCACAACAGAAGGTTTCTTTGTGCCTTCGTTGTTTTTGATAACGTGAACCAAGAAACCAGCATTTTGTATATTTATTTATTTTTTTCTCAGTTTCTGCACGACGATGTAGGTTCAGAAATCCAGAGCCTTAAAGAAGTGGTAATTGCAAAATTTCCCAGGAAGAACCAAAGCGTTTCCACTTCTCTCACCAAGGCCCACACCCCTATTATTATTATTATTATTTAATCTACCAGGAAAAAAAAAAGAAATAGAAGTTTTTCTGCACTGTCCTCCAAATGTTACCCATGGGGGGGGGGGAGATCTTTATTTTGTATTGAAGATGTAGATATTTCTGAGGTTGCTTCTGTCTTAGTGTCGAATAATAGGAATACTCCCCTTTTTTTTCTATTGTGAAACTGAATTAAGACATGAACGTAGATCTCTGGTCAGAGATCTCTCTCTTTATTCCACTGTATTGCTTGCTTGGTAAACATTGTGCTTCGCATGACGAGTGTTTCTCTTCTTCTTTTCATACTCCCAACTCTGTCTTAGCATCTCACTTTATGAGAAGAAGAAGATCAATACCAGTCTGTACAGGTTGCCTTATTAACGGCTAGATATATAGATATATTTGAAAGGAAAAGAAAAACTCATACTGGCGAGCCGAGCAGTCGGTGGTTTATTGCCTTTGTCAAAGAGACCATGATGCCTTTGTATTTGCTGTTTGCACCCCTACAATCGATTCCATATGTCGACTTTTGCCATGTTTTGCACATTGTACTGTATATATGTAATGCATATTGTATTTTTTATATGTGTAGTACATTTATCATATATTTTGTACATAGCGGCAAGATTGTAGCTAAGGAAAAAAAAAATCTCGGCAATTTTGCAAGTTGTGTGTCAAATAAAACAAGTTAATAGATGTGCTGGTTATTTGTGATGTTTATTTAACAACTCCTGTCTCTGAAAAGGGGAAACTACTTTGCTTCCTGCAAAGAGTTCGTCATTGAGGTCTGACTTTTATCCCTTATGGGAGGGGCAATAACCTCCCAGCCTTACTCCCAAATCGCCCCTTTTGCTTCAGCTGCTCTCACCTTCTAGCAGCTCTGTGCACATGCGCACTGGGAACAGGCTCCCCTTGCTCCTCTGCCTCGCTGCTGCCAGACTCTGGAGGCTCCAGAGGCAGCACCCCACCCCCAGGTGGTCCTAGCCCCATCTCTGCATCGGATGCAGGACCCTCGTCCGAGTCCCCTCCAGACTCCTGGACTGATCCCCTTTCTTCCCCACTGTCCGATTCCGCTGCCCATCTGCACTGGCTGCCGGCGAACCACAACACATATATACAATCCAGATTTAGTCCTACATTTAGCGGGCACATTGAAATGAACTGGAATTCAATTTGCCGTTACTGAATTAAGTCCTGCTGATTTCACTGGAACTGTTCTAAACCTGACAGTTGTATTGATCCCATCGTTTTCATTTTGTATTTTGGTTAAAGGTTGAAGAGTTGCTCATGTACTGTTAGTTTATAGGAAGGAAGGAAGAAAAGGAAGGAAGAAAAGGAAGGAAGGAAGAAAAGGAAGGAAGGAACGTGCACACAACTCTTGTAAGCAAATGATGGAACAAAAAGATGGTTATATGTTTAAAAAATTAATTTCCTAATAGAACTAAGAAAACTTTTTATTGACGGAAAAGAGGAGTGGGTACAGAGTATAAATCTAGCTCTATGGAAGCAGCTCCTCAGAGAAAGAAAGGGATATATAGCAACCCCAATTTCAACTGAAAGTCAGGGCTGTTACCTCACCTGCTGACATCACAGAGATACTGACATGATCCAGATATTTCTCTTTGTTTCCAGTGCTCCTCATCTGAAGGGAGAGTTTGAGTAGCGGAGAAAGAAAAGGGACTTCTCTCTCACTATGGAGGTGACTCGATATCAGTTCTCTAGGTCAGCCAACAATTCTGAGGAAAGGTAAATTAAATAGATCCAAAATAATAGGAATAAAGACTGACTCGGTAGTTACTGGGGGCAAGGGAGTACATGTTGATCTAGTTTGAATGTGGGAATATCTAGAATCGCTCAAGATTTTGTTCTCAATATTTTATGTGGGATTAGGCTGTATTAAACATAGGTGGGAGAGTAAAAGCTAGAAACCATAAGATTAGATAGGAGAGATATTCAGTATTATTAAAGTGGAAACAAACAGCAATTGTTTATGCATTAGGAAAAACAAATAATTTGTGGGGCACAACAAAGGAGCGAATTGCTCTTTTTAATGTGTGTGTGTGTGTGTGTATATATATATATATTTTCTTAAGTTTTCACGGGTACTTACATGTATGGTATTCAGCTTTGCTCGGGTATTTTCCCACGTCATTGTAGTTGTGCTTTTAAAGTTGTAGCAATGTTTCGGCAGAATCTCATCTGCCATCATCAGGCTTCTGTATTGTGTTCATCTGAACACAATACAGAACACAATATAGAAGACTGATGAACACAATACAAAAGACTGATGATGGCAGATGAGATTCTGCCGAAACGTTGCTACAACATCAAAAGAATATTGAATAACTTCTTGCAAGTTTCTATATCAATGTCCTAATCATTAATATCATTTGGATAAGTTGTGGCATGCGGTTGCAACAACAACTATGGAGTAGGGGTTGATGGCACCAGCACAGTTAGAATAGTCTTTCTCAATCTGGACAACTGGAAGAGACATGGACTTCAACTCCCAGAATTCCCTAGAGAGTCCACAATCTCTCCAGGTTGGGAAACACTGAAGTCGAATGATCTTTAGCATGACTTGACCTTCTTATGAAGCCGCCTTCTCTTCTTCTCAAGATGCATTTTAATCTTCTTCCATCTGTTGCACTTCCAGGGTCCTCGCTCACTATAGTGAAGTGGTATTATTTCTGGAAGGGGAACCAGATATTCCAGAAGAACTCCAAGGTGCCAAGAAAGGGATGTTGTACCTCACTCAATACAAAGTAAGAGCTCTTGGCCCAGATGGCCAAAGAAGGCAGTGTCAGTGTGTCTGTGTCGTATTAAAACCCAGAAACTTCTGCGCTCTTTGATAAGAAACATCTTTCATTTATGGTGGGTGAACCTGACCATTTTTCAGTCTTGAGAGAACCCTTGAATGAGTCTTCTCTTAAGTTAGTGTTTTCCTCCATCAGCTAACTCTTAAGCAGCCCACCTTGTATTGAAAAGGGCGTTAGACATATTTTACAGGTAGTTCCCAACCACAGTTGAGTGCCCAAAATTTCCATTGCTAAGCAAGGTAGTTGTTAAGTGAATCATACGGTCATTAAGCAAATCTGGCTCTCCCACCCCATTGACTTTGCTTGTTGGAAGCCAGCTGGGAAGGTCACAAAAAATGTGATCACATGACCCCTCTGGGACACTGCAACCGTCATAAATAATGAGCCAGTGGCCAAGCATGGCCAAATTTTGATCAAGTGACCATGGGGATTCCACAGCGGTCGTAAGTGTGAAAAACGCTCATAAGTCGCTTTTGTCAGTGTCGTTGTAACTTTGAACAGTCACTAAACGGATGTTTCTAAGTCAAGGACTACCTGCGCTTCCCTTAAGGTCAGTTTTGGAGTGGGTACATTTGTCCAAATGGTGGGCATTTGTTTCCCAGGCTAACTTGAGTGAAATTATCCTGATTTCTTGATTGCTTTCCTAGATAATATTCCAGCATAAAGATAAGGGATCAACCATCATCCGTTTTCCACTGCAGCTGTTGGGAGATTGCTTTCTGGAGGAAGAGCCCGACTCCAAACCTCAACACATCAAAGGAACTCTGAGTACGTTCCATAATGTATTGACCTGTCTTTGTCAGCTGCTCTAAAGTTCTCTGTGCAGATCTCTTTCTCCCTCCGCTTAAGTCATCAACCTGGTGGAAATGTTCAGGGGAAGTGAGCCTCAGGTTCTGTCCACAATAAATACCCCATTCATTGAGAAAGAAAGAAAGGGGAAAAAAATGCCCTAGCTTGCTATGATGATAATTGTGTCAGAGTGCACACAGTGTGACTAGATGAGATAACCCAGGAGCAAATACAGCACACAAGTTTGTATTTACATATAGTGATTGTTGTTGTTGTTTTATCTCAGTCCCTTGATATTCAAGAGTAGAATAGAGTAGAGTAGAGTAGAGTAGAGTAGAGTAGAGTAGAATAGAATAGAATAGAATAGAATAGGAATAGGAATAGAAATAGAAATAGAAATAGGAATAGGAATAGGAATAGGAATAGGAATAGGAATAGGAATAGGAATAGGAATGAATAGAATAGAATAGAATGGAATAAAAATAGGAATGAATAGAATAGAATAGAAGATGGAACAGAAAATAGAATAGAATAGAAATAGGAATAAACAGAATAGAATAGAAATAGGAATGAATAGAATAGAATAAAATAGAATAGAATAGAATAGAAGTTGGAAGGGACCTTGGAGGTCTTCTAGTCCAACCCCCTGCCTAGGCAAGAAACCCAACACCACTTCAGACAAATGGTTATCCAACATCTTTTTAAAAACTTTCAGTGTTGGAGAAATCGCAACTTCTGCTTCTCTCCTTGATGAGTTTCCACCCATCATTTCTTGTCCTGCCCTCAGGTGCTTTGGAGAATAGCTTGACTCCTTCTTTGGGGCAGCCCCTGAGAGATTGGAACTAGACATACCCAGTTCCTGCAGCCATTCTTCATAGTTTTTGGCTTCCGTTCCCCTAATCATCTTTGTTGCTCTTCTGTGCAAAATGAGTTGAATCAGAAGAGGAAAGTAATAGCAAACTCTTGGGGGAATCCTAAAGTTCTTTTTTCAGAAGTGCAACATTTTGGGCAAGGGAGTGTGTCCTAAAATCAGGAGAGAAAAATGCTCGTGCAGAACATTTTTGGGTGAGGGAGAAAGAAAAGGAAGATGGGAAAATGAGGGTTAGGGTTAGGATAGATATTTAAGTGGCTGAAAACCATTCCATAACACGTGTTACAGATCCGTTTTATCCACCCAAAATCTCCATAGAGAGATATCTTTTATATGTTGGTAGTTCTGCCAATCTAACACTAAAACAGATTTGATTTCCTTTTTTTCATTTAATTGTATTTTTTTCAACTCACTGCTGTGAGGTTGGCAGGTCAGCCGGGTTACTTTGAGACAAAATTAAGGGTTCATCTAGGTCAGTCTTTGATCAACTTTATCCTGATCACTTGGAATACAGGTGGTCCTCGACTTGCAACCGTTTGTTTAGCGAACAACCAAAGTTTCAAAGTTAGCATTGATAACCAGTCCTCAACATTATGACCATTGCAACATCCCAGATTATTGGGGGCAGTAGGCTGACTCTGTAAACTGCTTAAGAGAGGGCTGTAAAGCACTGTGAAGCGGAATATAAGTCCGAGTGCTATTGCTGTTGCTATCCCCATAGTCACATGATCAAAGTTCAGGTGTTTGGCAACTGGCATTTATCCTGGGTTTATGCAGTCACCATTTGCAGCCTTCCTAGCCAGCTTCTGACAAGCAAGGTTAATGCGGGGTGGGGGAGAGCCAGATTGGCTTAACCCCTGGTGGTTCATTTAACAGCTGCAAGTGATTCACTTAACAACCGTGGCAAAAAAAGTAAAATTGATGGTGATTCACTTAATAACTGTCTTACTTAGCAATGGAAATCCTGGTTCCAATTGTGGTCAAGGGCTACCTGTATAATTCTCATCATTACCTCTTAACACGTCTGAAGAGGTCTAAGTGTACCTTCTTAGCTCTGCAGGAGAAGGTGCAGGTGAGAAGAGGCATAGATAATCAGAGGTGGTATTCAGCAGGTTCTGACCAGTTCTAGAGAATCGGTAGCGGAAATTTTGAGTAGTTTGGAGAACCGGCAAATACCCCCTCTGACTGGCCCCACCAACCCCATCTCTTCTCTGCCTCCTGAGTCCCAGCTGATCGGCTGGGTCTTCTTTGGTTTCCCTGCACAGGAGAATGGAACTGGAAAGCAGGTTAGTGGGATGGGGAGGGAATGGGGATTTTGCAGTAACCTTCCCCTGCCATGCCAATCAAGCCATGCCACGCCCACAAGGCACGCCCACAGAACTGGTAGTAAAAAATATTGAATCCCACCACTTCTGTAGCCTTGACTTAAGATCTCAGCATAGACTTTTCTTCTCAGCTTCCACCCAGGGACTTCTTGCTTTCAAATTCACTTTCCAGTATGGAGCTTCCGATTGCCTAAACATGATCAAAGATCTAGTAGATTCAGGTAAGTTGTTTTCTGGCGAGTTGTAAAAGATCCATTCGCTCTACTCTGCTCTGGTGGGATTTGAACTGCCAGATTGTAGGCAGCTGGCTGCAGCAGAAGTAGCCTGCAGTGCTGCGCTCTAACCACTGCGCCACAGAGGCTCCTGATATGCTACCTTTACCTTTTTTGTTAATGCAACAGATATTTTGAAAGAGGCTACGAATCTCCAAGAATACCCCACTGCCTCCATCTATACCTATGCTCACCCTGCTGCACCACAGACAACCCGTAAGTACAGGTGTGCATTATCTGTGTTACCAGCTTTCCCAAAGGTACTTTTTTTGCAAGAGGCAACTGCACTTTCTTGTTTTTTCTTTGAAGATGTTTTGCTTCTCATCCAAGAAGAATTGAAACCCCCCGATATTGCATTAATATTGCACTATACAGTAGAATTCAACCGAGCTCCTGCCCTGGGATAGAAGCTGTTTTTCAGCCTATTTGTTCTTGTTTTTATTGTCCTGTACCATCTGCCAGATGGTAATAGTTCCCCCCACCCCCACCCCAAAAAAGGTGCCCAGGATGAGATGGATCTTTGAGAATGTTTTGAACTTTCTTAAGGCAGCGGGAGCTCTAAAGCTCTTCCAAAGAGGGGAGAGGGCAACCAATGATCTTCTGGGCAATGACATTAACCCTCTGGAGCGCTGTCCTATCCGCCACTGTGCAATTGGCAAACCATACAGAGGTGCAGTAAGTTAAGATACCCTCTATGGTGCAGCAGTAGAAGGTCACCAGCAGTTTTTCATTCAAGTTTTTTTTTTGTAAGTTTTTTGTCAATTGTCAACTTTTCTTTGCAAAAAGAAAAAAAAGACATTTAATTCGTTTTTAGGTGCAAGAAACCCAACGCACTCACTCGTGTGTGTAAGGATCACGGTTCTTCTGTCCGGGCAGTGGTGGTGGCAATGACATTTGAATTCCTGGGAGGGAGGAAACAGAGAGGACCTCCCTCCCTTTGTAACCACAAAAGACTGTTCGCTCCCAGTTCCTTTTGCTGGAGGACAGCGTTGTCCCCGGTCCTAAGGGCAGCCGGCTGAGAAAGATAGGGAGAAGATACGCGGTGGCTCACGGGTATCTCTGGAGGCTTCTTATCTGCCGTCTGAGGCATCTGAGACCAGGCTTAAGAGGCTAAGTCAATATCCACCGCAGTCTGCGGCTTGGGGAGAGTGACAGTTGAGTGACGAAGCCATGCGAATTCCATGCAGATCTCGAAGACCTGATAGGAAAGCTTGCAGAGTTCTTGTTTTGGATCCCACTTGGTCAAAAACGTCCACGGAAAAGACCTAAAACAAGATGGATGGACAACATCAGCAAATAGGGCAGGCTCAATTGGCAAAAGAAGGCTCAGGACCGTATTGTCAGGATTCTGGCACTTAACCCCATTTCAATCATGAGTCTCGAGCCAAACTTCCAAAACTTTAAAAGGATTTATTGGGAGTTAACATGTCCGGCACTGCCTGGGTGTATCGTAATTCATATTCTCCAATGGGACACATCCATAGCCAAGAATCATCAATCATGCTCTCCAGTTAGAATTTTGCGTGGCAGAAACTTCAGTCACTTAGTTACTATCTTTGAAAAACTATTTATGGAGTGCACTTTCGCTTTCCAAGCTGCCACACTGCTCCCCCCTCCCTTTCTGTTGGCAACGCTAAAAAGATCATAGAAATATTTTATGAGTTGACAGGTACGGGTTGGAAACATGCGGAAGAGGCCTTCATTTTGCAGTGGATAGACAACAGCTAAAATGATGTTGAAGGAGGAGGAGGAGAAGGAGAAGGAAGAAGAAGAAGAAGGAGAAGAAGAAGAAGAAGAAGAAGAAGGAAGGAGAAGAAGAAGGGGAAGAGGAAGAAGATCTGGAAGGCTCCAGGCTAGAAAAGTTTAAAGTAGCTAGTGCCTTAGCCAGTTAAGTCACTGTTCTACAGTTCTACTTCCTCGATTTTAACCTCCATTCCTTTTGCAACCGTTGGAGTTAAAGTTGGTCATGAGATCGAATTCGAGCCCTTGGCAACCAGCATGTATTTACAATTGGCTGAAGTGTCCTGGGGTTAAGAGATTGCCATTGGCGACTTTCCCAGATGGCTTCCAACAAGCAAATTCAATTGAAGAAGCCGGATTTTGCTTTTAGTAACTGCACAATTCACGTAACAAATGCATCGATTTGCTTAATAGCAAATCATGGCAAAAAAAGGTGTAAAAAATTGGAGGGGACTCATTTTGCAACCCCCTCGCTTAGTAATGGAAATTCTGATCCCAGCTATGGTCATAAGTCAAGGATTTGCTGTACTGGTAGTCCTCGACGTACGACCACAATTGAGCCCAAAATTCCTGTTCTTAAGTGAGACATTGGTTAAGTGAGTTTCGCCCCATTTTACGACTTTTCTTGCCACATTTGTTAAGTGAATCATTGCGGTCGTTAAATTAGCCACACGGATGTTAAGTGAATCCCGCTTCCCGTGTTGACTTTGCTGGGCAGAAGATTGCAAAAGTGGAACATGTGAACCCTGCCCCAGGACACTGCAACCGTCATAAATACGAACTAGCTGCCAAGCCTCCAAATTTTGATCGTGTGACCATAGGGGATGCTGCAAAGGTCACAAGTGTGAAAAATGGCTGTAAGTCCCTTTTTTCAGTGCCGTTGCAACTTTGAATGGTCACTAAATGAACGGTTGTAAGCCGAGGACCACCCGTACTCTGTTATTGGATAGCTTCCTAAGAAGATTTGAGCAGTCATTAATGTCGCACTCCATGCATGCGCTGGGCATCAGCCAGAATCAATCAAAATTCAATCAGTTTTTAACAAGATAATTTTTTCATTTTTAGTAGAAGATATTCCATTCCCCAAAGGTACCATTTCCAAAGAATGAATCTGTTGTTCTTCCTGGATTGATATTTTAGTAGGACGTTTTGGCTCATTCAACTTGGTCCTCAACACCAATAAGACGAAAGAGCTGATAGTGGACTATAGAAGGAACAGATCAGACATCCAGCCCTTGCTTATCAAGGGAGACTGAGTGGAGCAAGTGGCCAGTTTTAAGTTTCTGGGTGTTACCCTAAAAGAGGACCTGACCTGGGGTGCTCATATTGCAGCCCTGGTCAAAAGGGCCCAGCAGAGATTATACTGCCTGAGACTTCTCAGAAAACAACAACTGAATGAAAAACTGCTGGTGACCTTCTACCGCTGCACCCTAGAGAGTATCTTAACTTACTGCATCTGTGAATGGTTTGCCAATTGCAAAGGGGCAGATAGGACAGCACTCCAGAGGGTTAACATCATTGCCCAGAGGATCATGGGTTGCCCTCTCCCCTCTTTGGAAGAGCTTTGTAGCTCCCGCTGCCTTAAGAAAGTTCAAAAGATTCTCAAAGATCCATCTCATCCTGGGCTCCATTTTTTTTTAACTATTACCATCTGGCAGACAGTACAGGACAATAAAAACAAGGATAAATAGGCTGAAAAACAGCTTCTATCCCAGAGCAGTAGCTCGGTTGAATTCTACTGTATAGTGCAGCGTTGGTGTGGTGTGGGGGTTTTTCAATTCAATGTGTGGAGGGTGAAGGATGTGTGTTTGTGTTTATTTTCATGGTCATGATGTGCACTGAAGGTGGTGTTTGATTTGTTGTACGAGGTGCAATGACGATAAAGTAAACTAAACCTGATTCTCTGATACGATGCTTTTTTTCACCCCGCAGGTTCTCTCAACATGTTACCACTCTGGCCCCCACCTTACCCTGGCCCCCCAGAGCTCCCCCCTCCCTATTCTGAAGTGGAAGCAGACTCTCCAGGTAGAAGCAGAGAGGCAGGTAAATCAACAGGGCAGTTCACCAGATTGGAGGTCAGTCGGACCAAGGATAAAACACAGGGGGTTTTGACTAAGCATTGAGAGGTTGCTCTGCAAATTAGTGGCTTGTGCTTCATTACTGATTATTTGTAACAGGAAAGAGACCAAGCGCTTTTCTGCAGTAGCAGAAGGTTGGGTTGGAAGTTCTCCAGAACATTAATGAGGGCCAGTTTGAAGTAATGTTTGGTGTACCATTACTCCACCTAGAAGCCAGGTGACTTGTGACTTCAAGGCTTGCCTTAGGCATTAAAGCCAGCTGGGTGACTTTGGGCCAGTATCTCTGTCTCTCTCGGCCTAGGAAGAAAGAAAGTAAGGCCAAACTACTTTCTGTGGGAGAACCCGTTGGGTATAGTGATTAAAGGCACCAGATTAAAATCCAGGAGAGTTATAATCCTGCCTCAAAGAAGCCAGCTGGATGCCCTCAGACCAGTCACCCTCTCTCAGCCCAAGCCATCTTTCAGGGTGGTTGATGTTTGGAAAATAGATGATAGGAGTATTCAATGTGTTCACTGCCTTGTATTTATTTCCCCCCCCCCCATCCTCTCAAATGCAGGTTAAACATATAATAACAATGATTATGATGATGGCTTCCAGAAGGATAGCTGCCAAAGGTATCAGCCAACATAAAAAAAAAATAGTAGGAAAAAGCCAAGAGTTTCAAAGAAAAGGAGAGAAAGGAAGGACCCCTTGTAGTCCAAATCATTTTAACTTATAGGTTACCCATTTGCATGTTCAAGCATGTGGACATTAAAGTCAGGTCTAGTTTGTCTCTTTAGAAAACAACTATAGCTCACCCTGCCTGCATTAGTTACAGCAGGAAATAAACCAAACGAAGGAATGAAAAACGTATGTTTTTTAAAAGAAGCCAAGATTCACTTTCTCTCTTTTTTTCCTCACTTTATAGAGATCCAAGAAACCTGTTGCCATTGCAGAGGACGAATGATTCAGAATCCAGCAAACAGGCTGGACTAAACGTGTTACAGGTGCCTACAATGTTCGTTTTTCTGTTAGAACAAGAGTCCCAAAAGTGTTCTGATCCACACCCTTTTCCGACAAATCAAACCCAATCCAAAAGGAACAGAAACCTTGTAATGCTTTTACAAAATAATTAGCTGTGATAAGCACAAGCCTTGCCAAACTGTGCGAGACTTGCCAAAAAATAACAGACAAGAAATAATTTGCAATACAAAAATGTTCAAATACAAACTCAGGATCCTGGAATGTCCACAAGGCTGAGTTTCAAAACGTCTTTGCTTCCTGCAAAGAACATTTGTTTCACAGCTGGCTTTTAACTTCTTGTGGGAGAAGCCATTATCTTGCAGCCTTACTCCCGAGTCACCTGTGCTGTTGTAGCTGCTCTTTCCTGCGAGCAATCCTGCGTGCACGCGCACTTGGCACAGGCTCCTCGGGAACCTCCTCATCGCTGCTGCTGCCAGCCCCCACAATCTCTGAAGGCAGCAGTCCACTCCCTGATGGTCCTGGTCCCTCATCTGAGTCCTCGGTCTCTTCAGCCGTCCGCACCTGCTGCCGGCTAACCACAACAAAAAGTGCTTTTTCAGAAGGCAACTGGACTTTGGAAACTTTTGAAAAACTTTTGAAAAACTTTTGAAAAACTTTTGAAAAA